CAGGAATTCTTCACAATTCATTTTTCAAGGAATGCCACAAAGGAAAAAAGAGCCATGTAAGAAGCACGAAGAAAAAAGGCAACAACCAGCATTAACAATGTAAATAGTGAAACTTAAGCCAACATAAGCAAAGAAGTTCAAAGCTCATCTGTGGTTTAACAGAGGTCCAAAGAAGTGGGTGATATTAAATGTGGGCTATAATACTAACCACAAAGGGATGAAGTAAGGGCTGATTAGGTGAAATGTCTCAATATATGATATTCTTTAAGGTTCTTAGATACACAGTTAGTGAAATCTCATTGAATAAAAAGGGGATATAACCATGAACTATAATGGAACACAGAATTGGGCCTACAATACATTATTCTCCTGATTTCAATCTCTAAGATAACTGCTGTACTTTTTTTTAACGGAATCTCCCATTGTAGGGATGCAGCAGCTAAATACTGGTGAGGTGAAATGTGAGTGTGTGTGTGGGGGAAAACAAGTGTATTAAGTAAAAGTGCATGAGATATAATATTTCCATTTTCAGCATGCCATTTCAAAGCTTCCACACTGACAACCGTTGGTGCATAAATACTATTACAAATACCATTCAAATCAGTGGAATTCTGCATGCTTAAAATCTGCTTTGTATGGAAGGTAAGATGGAAGAGTGATAAGAAATAATCAACTCATTAAAACATTGTGTATTTGGAGTAACTTGTTTTTAATGTAAATAACAGCTAAGTTTTTCTGCTTATTTATTCAAGAACAGCAAAACACAGAAGTCCATTGTGCTGCCCAAAGTCTAGGATTCCAAAAAGGTAGCATTAGTGTAAACTTTGTCTAAACTTTAAAGCTATATTCAAACCTCAGCTATTAGTTCTGAAAAAAGCAGCAGCAACATTTTCAGTTTTTAAAATGAAGGCAAGTTTTATGTATAAAAGTAAGTCCTAGGAACTGTATAGTATGAAATGACATTAAGAAATAAAATAATGTAAGCATTTTAAAAATAAACTACTTTTTCTTCAGGGTCATATGCCAGCATTCAACCAAGAAAGACTGAACACAGGATTGCCATTATGCCAAATAGCAACTGATTTTACTATAGCAGTGCTGGTAGGTACCAGTGAAAATGAAAGGCTCTTGTAAACTATTCAATTTTTAGTTAAAAATTGTTGCTTAACATATACAAAACATTTAGTTTTTATTTTTTACTTTTGTAAGTTTAAAAGTACAAGCTTTGCCACCCTAGTGCTTCACATGATACAAAACACTTGAAAATAAACACATAGCTTTTGGTCTTGTGTTCCTGTTTCCTTGTCACTTCTCACATGATTGTTATAACTGAATGGAAAATAAAACATATTTCTTCTATAACTACAAGGAACCTGTCTCTTCATTGGAAAATAAAACTTTTCAGTATTAACCACACTACAGAAACTGGACCTGCAGGATAAGTATTATTGTTCTACTCTTAAGAGAAGAAATATGAGAAGTGGAATTATACATGCAGACACTGAATCAAACCCATGCTGCTGGGAGGAAAGAATATAGCCAGGCACTGTACAAAAGATGCTTTTTGGGTTTCTAACCTTCTGAAATCTGCAAAGCAGTGTGTTTATGTTTTTAATTATTCTAATAATGCAAAAGACTTAGTAATAGTAGTAAAAGTATCAGTGCTCTGGAATATTTCGCAGAATGATGCACACTGTTGGGGAGGAATAATTTTCTTAACATATTTCAAGAACTTTCATCTAAGTTTGTTTTTCATAAGACTTGCTCCAGCTTGATTTAAAAAAATGTTAGAATGTAGCCAATGAAAAAAAAATAACATGATTATTTGATCATCTGTTTTCAAAAAACAGACCAACATCTGGGAAATTCAAAATATTACAACTTTAATCCATTGACTGCAACAGGAGTGGGCAATTATTTGGGCTGGAGGGCCACTTAAGGAGTTTTGGTGAGCTGTTGAAGGGTGGGGTAGGGTGGGGGTGCTGACTAGGAGTTCTGGCGAGCTGTTGAAGGCCAGGGCTGGGGGATTGCTGACCCAGCTTTGGCCCCCCATCATGGCAGTTTACACTGCTTGGAGGGGGCCAGGGAGATGCCAATTGATCCTCTCTGGCCCTGGGCCCATCTGAGGGTGCTGGACAGAGCAGGCAGGTAGGGAGTGGCGCCCAGGAGCAGGAAGGGCCAGGGTCAAGGCCAGGACTGGGGCTGGAATTGCGGGGCAGTGACAGTGCAGGGCCAGGGCCCGGTACAGAGCTGCAATCCACTCCCTACATGTCCCTGAGACTGCTGGATGAAAGATGGGCCATTTTTTATTCTCACTGAACAATGAAGGGAGCCAGGGACCACTATCCTCTGGTCCTTGCTGACTTAGTAGTTCTCATGGACCCTGCAAGCTATGTGGCTGCTTATCACCACACCACACTGGGCCAGCCCCCCAGCACTTGATCTTTTAAGTGTGCCATTACTGCCCACTTTCCATCATCTGGCTCCTTTTCTGGAAAAGTTGTGGCTATGCCTGGGAACAGCAAGGGAGCAGGTAATTAAGCTACTTTTTGCAGCAGCTTGTATGAGGAGATAGATGCAGTCTCAGTCCAGCGTACTGTGGCACAGAAGCTGGTAGGAGTCTCCAGAGCACCCCCATGGGAGGATGGAGGGTAGAGTTCCTCCAGTCGAGGAATGAATGAGCCACATCTCTGATTCTAAGCAAGGCTACAGCCTCAAGGTACAGAACCAAACTTCCCCATCTTACATACTGTGGAGAAGAAGGTATCAAATGGGGTTGGTTCTCATTCATCTTCAATTGTTCAAGTTTCAGTTATTCATTGGCAGCTATTGTTGGGTCAAACAGGTAATTCTCTCTCTGCTCCTGACAGTTAGAAGTGAATATCTATGTGGTCACCATTTCTTGATTCAAATGGTGTTACAGCAGTTTAAATCCTTCCACTTTCTAAATTTGTACAGGCCCAGACCATGTGGCCTTTGTCAGGAGAGCCTGCATCTGTGTAGAAATTTGCTCACAACTGACTGAGGCAGTAACTGTTGCCAGAGACAGGCATGCAGCCACCACTGTGCACTGACTTTGTGATGTATACTCTATTGTACATTTCCAAAAACCCAGCAGAGAGCTCCAGGGACTCTGTCCACTCCTCTGTATCAGCATACTATTGGTCCAAGATGTTCTGGGAGATGAGTTGTTTTTCAAACCTAGTCATGCAAAGCATGGCAGGCTGTTGTCTGAATGTAAATGTGTTGATAGAGCTGCTGCTGATCTTTTTCACTGCCACTCACCCATTAGGTCATAACTGCCTCCCTGGGGCCCAGTTCAAGTCATTTTTATAGGTGCTGAAGTGGAACCTAGCCAGAATTTTAGGCATCTAAGTCAAAGTGTGATCTAGATTGACCCCACTCCAACAGCTACACAATCACCTATGTGCATATTCAATGCTTCCATTTTGGCTTGAAAAATTCTCTAGGCATCTCAACTTAAGTTGGTGTACATGTTCAGAAGTGATTTGTATCAAGCACATAGGCACCTCCTTCCTAAGCTCTGTTGTGATTCAGATCAGAGCTGGCAGATGCCTAAACTACACCGAAGTCCATGATCTGATAAGTGTTCACTGAGAATACCTAGTGCCTGATTGACAAAGATGGCATAAGCCCAGTACCCCACAGTCACTCTCAACCATACCTGCTGGTGGTGGCAGAAGCAGTCCTGATCTTTTGCCCAATGGCTCTTGTGGTTAGAATAATATTCTTCAAAGTGGGAGAGCTTTTTTTGAAGTCCTTTTTCAGCCTGACAGGGGTCAAAATGACTTTTCCCACTTTCCAGGAGTGTGCCCTAATCACCTAACAATAAAATAAACAGCATGGTAGCCTTTACCTCTTCTGCTAAATTTGGGATAACCAAGAGTGCAAACCAAGAGTGCAAAATTTATGGGGTCAAAGGATGATGGACTATGAGGTTTACCGTAATACTTCCATTTTAAATGTGTTCATATTGATATAAGTTGCTGGTCTACATGACAGAAGACACAGCCATCTACTGAGATGTGAACAGCTTTGACACTTCAGCAAACATGGAGGTTGCAGGTAACACCTCCAGGAAAGAGAAAGAAATAAACATGCCACAAAATAAACTGTGCAGCCAGAATGTATGCAAGGATGGACAAGGAGAATGTTGTCTGAAGGGTGAAGTCTGAAGATAGGGACCAGAAGAGGAGTTGTCGGTTTCTGTAGTTGGACAGATTGTAAAGGGAACAACATTGAAGAACTCAGGGCTGTGCAGCTGTATTAGGGACTCCTTTAAGGGGGCAAACTGATTTGGTGGCCTTTACCTAATAACACTTTGAGGAGCTGTCTGCTTTGCTGCTTGGAACTTTGGGTTGAATTTCTTTTCCTCAACAAGAGATAAAGTCCCTCTGAGAACCTAAACAGTGAATTAGATAAATGGACTCTATCCTGTTCCCATATGTAACTGGAGCTGCCAGCTATTTGAAAGACACCATAGATTTCTTAAAGAAACTGGCCTCCATTGACAAGTTTCCAGCTAACACGATGGATGTCATATCTCTGTACATCAACTTGTACTCCCTATGAAGACAGATTACAAGGTGTAAAAAACATTATCTCCAACAAGAAAATTGCTTCTGTTTCCATTACACTCTCCTTCTTTGTCCTCACACACAACTATTTCAGGTGTGGGGATTTCCTATACATATAAACAAGTGTCAGTGTCATTGACACACGTGGCTCCCCAGTATATCACTGTATTTATGACAGACATTGAAATTTGTTTCCTCTGCAGCTGCCCTCTTATCCCCATGATCTACCTAAGGTACA